GAAATTTCGGCAGCGCTTCCCGTAAAAAAAATGGCTTACCAAAATTTATACAAGACCAAGTATAATAAATGATCCCAGCAAATGCAGAATTCGACCTAAGTAAAAATAAACTTAGCCTAAAAAATGCAGGAATTGAAACTAACTACTATCGCTTTAGCACGTGGCGAGCCTCTAAAGCAACTACCTGTCAAACTGAAACTCAGACCAAGTAGTAATCGCACTTAGTCACATGCAGGCCAAACTACAAGGAGTAAGTACTATCACCATCCCAAAGTCAATTCATATAAGATAGTTCATGAATCCTCAAGTAATTAAACCCTTATACGGTTATACCCAACTTACTTATGGCATAACGCTAGACCATTCGGCTTGAAAACAATGTCCAGCGTGCCTTAAGATATACACGAACAATTTGCACAACTACTTCTCTCTTCTTTTGACATTTGGCTAGACCATTCGGCTTGGAAACAATGCCTAACCGCCCTGGACTATTTAATATCCAAAATTTAGTAACTTTCTGATTTTGTTCTCAAAAGAAAACGCAAATATGGCCGGGGGACTGAACCATTCGTCTTGAAAACAATGATCAGCTTGCCCAAACTACTTTCAATTATACTTTGTAATTTTTCTTCTCTTCTTAGCGATATGGTTTAGTGCTGTACCATTTGGCTTGGAAACAATGCCCAGCTGCCAGTTCACATGCAAATATAAGTATAATACTTTATTTTATACTCATTTTATACTTTTGTGCGTGGTTTTCAGGCTAAACCATTCAACTTAGAAACAATGCTTAACCTTACACTAAAATCCTCCCTCAGAATAAAACAAGACCCTTCAAATCAGGCAAACCCTCAGAAATTAAACACAGCAACTAGGTCATTAAACTTAGAAACAATGCTCAATCCTTGGTTGACCCAGTCAAACGCATGCAGTCTGCCTTCCTCCTACCTTCCCCCAGTGCATCCCTTAGCTGCTTTCAATCAAAATAAAGAGAAACTTAAGTTTCACACATACACACACACATTCTTTCCTTTCGGTCTAATTAAATCCAGAAAATAAAACGAAGTCATAGGGGATCACATGCATACAATCACTCAAAACTAGAGGGAGATAGTCAAACAGGGTTATAGTGGGTTTATATAGATAGAGAAAGATATACCTGATGGTTCCCTGCCTCCAAACCTCGCCTAGGTTTCGGCAGAGCTCCCGCAATCGGTGGGTTGACTCCCCACAGAATCTTGCTGCGGTCCTACGAGTTGCAACCCCGCCTGCCGCCTTCCTCTCATAACTAGACTAGACTTAGAGCAAGAAGGGCAAAAGTAGGGGTTTGAGACTCTCGAGATATAAGAGAGGGACTGACGCAACTCTCAGGAGAGGACCTTGATACCTTCATGCACCTGCGGGCCCTGCAATGGCAGCCAAATACACAGCAACCTCGTCAAGAGTGAAGTCAAACCGCCGAAGTCAACCCTCTGATGACCTCCCAGTTCACAACAATAACCCCCGTATGCAGGCCTTATCATGCCTCCAAGTCTCACTACCTCGATCTCAGATAACACCGTCGCCTGGCAATAGTCCACAATTCCCTCACCGTTTGTCAAATTGTTGGCGACGTGTAGCAACATGCAGCAAACGCAGCCTTTGAATGCTTCGTTCAGATAGAGGCTCCCCTCCTCGTGCTTTTCATCACAGTGCTAGCAAAGTTCGCATGAGCCTAGTGGAGTGAGCGCACACAACCACCGTACGTGGCAGCCACTCAAAAGCATACACAGCCAACCGTACGGACATAGTACTCGTACACCCACACATACACAGGAAAAGGAGGGCACCGACTGCACCCACCGCAGCAGCTGCAGCATGCACCCCATACGCCGAAACCAACAAGCGCACAGACGCTGATTATGCAGGCCACCGCCACGTGGGCTCGGTATACTACAGTAGTCCGACCCAGCTTCCCGCACAGTCCGGCACGTGGTTCGACCCTTCAGCTCAACGACACCTTATTAAGATTGCAGTCTGTACGTGGCATTAGCCTCGTAATAGCAGCAAGATCAGGGAGTCTTCAGTCTGTTAGCCTTGGCTCCTCCGCCATGTAGCCGTTCACTTCAAGTGGTTGGTTACGAGGAGCAATTCCCCCCCCTGGTTGTTTTCATAGATCGAGGGTCCGTTTGATAAGCGGGGTCTGCAGATACTCCAGCCCACCAACCAGAGAACTAAGGCGCCGACTCTGAACATCAACAAGAGCACGCCCTCGTCACCACCAACTTCGTGTTCAGAACTCTTCCTCCTGCCTCTTACTCCCGCTACCCGCTACCTCTCTCTTAATGCACCAGGCCGACTATTTGGCCAGGTTCACGTCCTTCTTCCTGCCCTAGCCGTACAGAGTCTGTCCCCACATCCACATTCATTCGAGTCCTTTCCCTCTCCTTTCTCTACTGCGCTCTTCCGCTCGCTGCCCAGCCCTTAGTTTATGAACGCACCCGGCCACTCTCGGTTAGGTTCGTTCAAAACTCTGGAGAACAACGATTGCGAATCGGAAAGGAAATGGAGGTGAGGGCAATGACCGGAACAAGCCACGATTGGCATGTCGAGGGTTGCTAAGCAGATGGGCAGCGGCTAGAGGGGAACACGAGCTTCAAGCCAAACACACTCGTAGAAATGAGAATGAACCTTCTGCTTTAATGTGGGTAGGTTCATCCCCTTCTATCCTTCCTTTCTTCACGCTGCTCCCATACCCCGTACTGCAAAAAAACACTGTCTTTTCTTTCAATCCACTTTTACTATCATGTTCGCCTGTCACCAAACTTCAATCTAACCCCTCCTCTCGCTCGAAGAACGAGCGAGATTCTCAACTTTCGCTTCCGTTTTTTTCCTCTCACCATAGCTCCGCGCGGTAAGTTTTTTGACTAACATTATTTCTACTATTCCAACACTCAATCTAGCCTCACCAGTGGATTCGCTCGGCCAAAGAACCTCGATTTTGCCTTTTATTTCACTCGATTCCTGAATCGAGTGAAAACTCTGTTTTCCATAATTTGCCATATCTGCAGTCTCGATATCTTCGTGCATCACTTCTTTCTTCTATCAACTAACCTACTAATTTTTGGCTCATTTTATCAACATATTTCGGGTCGCCCGCTGTAGAAACCCCAGAAGTGAGTCTTGGTTCGCTCGATCTTGTCAAGAATCGGGCGAGCTACTCACTTTTCGCTCCTCCCTACCCATTCACTCATCCATCTTCGCGCAGCCCGTTTTACACTAACCTCACTTTCTACTAATCTTCTTATAAAACTAACTTCATAATGGAGTCCGCCACCCTTCAAAACCCCTATATTATATCTTTCCCTACCTGATTCGATAGCTGTTTTCTTTCCTCGTTGTTGCACGTGCATCCGGCACAAATACCCGTCCGGGTTCACTCACAACTCCCTGCCTGCGTCCGTTACGCTCGTTGCTCCGCTGGTGCGCTCCTTCAATGATGTAGCGGCCGAGCTCGACTATCCAGCGCCCCGGGACCTCCAAAGGAACCAGCTACCTGACAGTTCGGTTAGCCTTTCGCCCCTATACACCGGCCGAACAAGTCGCGCGTCAGTGTGGCTATGCCCTCCACTGGGTCTCTTTCGGCCGCCTTGACTGCCCTGAGAAGACTTCGAAGGAACTTAGCTACTACGGTGCAGCAGGCCTCCGCCCCGATGTGGGGATTCGACAAGTGGCTCATACATCGGCATAACTGCAGCCCCCACCAAAGTTGCCTCTGGACCACTCTACTTAGGCAGAGTCCCCGACCTTTCGGGTTTCCCAACGGGAAAGCTTACACACAGGCTGTCGATCTTGGAGTCGAGAGTGCTGGCTTACTGCAAAGCCTAGGGGTGGGCCTGGGTGAGAGTCCGTGAGACGACCCTGGTGCAAATCTTGGTGGTAGTAGCGAATATTCAAATGAGGATTTAAAAGGAAACCGGAGAGGAGTAGGGTCCTGCCGGGCCGCCGCTACAGTGAATTCCCCAAACTTTGCCCCCAGGTCGCCCTCGCTATTGCGCCAAAGGAGGCGCGTGCTCAAGGTTGTCGGCTGCTACGATGGCCTTTAAATCCGGCGTCTCGTCCGAGTCAAGGAACACCGGATCATAAAATTAATACTACAATAAATAATAAATATTAGAAACTTCTAATCGCCAGAATATGACGAACGTAGCACCGTTTCGACGCCGCCGACGACAAAACCAACGGGGATAGCCCCACCGGACCCTAAACCCCTCGGTCTCCTCGCGCCGCTCCGATATCCTCGCATCGTCGCCGCTTGATCTCGATCCCTGAGTCTCCCTGATGAAAGTCTGACGCCGTAACCACTAGTGCTAGGCCCAAGTCTTGGTCTAGCTCTGACGGACACTTAAAATAAACCAACACTGTGCGACACGCAGACCTACCATAACAATCTCAAACTCACATGGTTTAGCCCCACCGGGCCCTAAACCCCTCGGTCTCCTCGCGCCGCTCCGATATCCTCGCGTCGTCGCCGCTTGACCTCGATCCCCGAGTCTCCCTGATGAAAGTCTGACGCCGTAACCACTAGTGTTAGGCCCAAGTCTTGGTCTAGCTCTGACGGACACCTAAAATAAACCAACACTGTGCGACACGCAGACCTACTAGAACAATCTCAAACTCACATGGTTTTCGATGTCGTCCCCCACACGTACGCACAAATCACAGGTAAGCACATCAAGTAAAAGACGAAATCTTTTTTATCCTAACTTAATCAGAAATACAAATCTGGCCGGCGATCAACACCGGTTTCCACAATCATCAATAACAAAGAGATCACGCGTGCCTTAAGTCTGCGCGCCCAGACACTCTCTGCTCTAGTCATCCATTCAGCCTAATGTAAACCATAGACACCGCCATACTTCGCGTGGTATACTTAAACTTTTAAACCAAACCTATTCTCTGTTGCTTGCAAACACCAGGGTGGATACACTTGTAAGGGTATTCGCACGGAGTCACCGACACCGCGCCTACGGAGTCACCGACACCGCGCCTACGGACGATGAGAGAGGCGACGGCGATGACAGAGGTGATGGCGGGGCTGGCGGTGACGCGGGAGGTGATGGTGGAGGAGGGGGCAACGACAGAGGTCATGGCAGAGGTGGCGGCGGCGAGGGAGGTGATAGAGGACGCAAGGGCGATGACAGAGGTGCCGACGTCGACGGATGTCATGGAGGAGGCAGCGGAGGCGACAGAGGTGATGGCGGTGGTGGGGGCGACGAGGGAGCTCATGGCAGAGGTGGCAGCGAGGACGCAGGTCATGGTGTGAGCAGCGGTGGCGACATGCATGATGACGGAGGAGGCGTTCACGACAGAGTTGAGGAGTGTGAGGAGTCTGAGGACGGCGGTCCTGTACATGGTCGTGGCCTCGTCTTGAAGCGGTTGAGACACGGGGCCAGATAGGATGATAGCATCGGCTCTCGTGTGCGCAGACGTCGTCTTCACGATGCGACCGTCACGGAGGCACGCTTCGTGCAGCACCAGCACGTTGTCGTGTCTGAGGTCTCCCTTAGCGATTGGTTGGATGAGGACTTCGTTCCTGGTGATGCTGACATGAGGGGCGAGGAGCATCAGCCCGGTTTCGTTAAGGTGTCAACCATGTCTGCAGCGGCGATGTCAGTGCCGGAGGAGAGTGGAGCAGGGTTGACTCGTTCTCTTATACACATCTAGATGTGTATAAGAGACAGCACCAGCACGTTGTCGTGTCTGAGGTCTCCCTTAGCGATTGGTTGGATGAGGACTTCGTTCCTGGTGATGCTGACATGAGGGGCGAGGAGCATCAGCCCGGTTTCGTTAAGGTGTCTCCTTAGCGATTGGTTGGATGAGGACTTCGTTCCTGGTGATGCTGACATGAGGGGCGAGGAGCATCAGCCCGGTTTCGTTAAGGTGTCAACCATGTCTGCAGCGGCGATGTCAGTGCCGGAGGAGAGTGGAGCAGGGTTGACTCGTCCCAAATCCTCGGCGCGCATTGTAGACACTGCGGACTCTATGGAGTCCCATCGCCATCTGACACAACTCACGGCCGCGGTTCATGCGGAAGCTCGAGGAGGGGCAGCGAGTGATGGGCGGAGAATTCCCGACGGTGGAGGAAATGTGCCACTGTGCCACCTCCTTTAACCATCGTTCGCACGGGCACCCACGGGGCACCCAACGCCATGGTCCCCTCCACAGGCGAGGGTTTGGAGTACGACGAGGTAGCACGTCCTCCCACGGTAGACGTTGGTTTGGAGGACGGAGAGGTTGCACGTACTCCCACTTAAGCCCATGAGGGAGAGGATGCACGTCCTCCCACAGTCGACCATGTTTGCCTCACCTGCCCCACTGGCAGTCTTCCGCCCACCTCCGAGTTACTGGCCATGGAGTCGGCCTTGGATGGTCTGCCTGACATATCGGCTTTGATATCTCCCACTTTGGCGTTTGTGGCACCACCAGAGACTGCTCGGGCAGATGAAACGGATGGAGTGTCTAGAGGATTCGACGAGTTGCCGGCGACACGATACTGCATCCCGCAGTCTCCGACACTCCCGCCGTTTTTCATGTGGGAGCACCGCACGTGGTGGACCAGGGTTTGGCGGACCAGGTGGCATGGAACCGCCGTGGCGGCCCGCGCGTCGCGGCGCAACACAGTCTAGGGGATTCATTGGAGATAGTGTCCCCAGAGTATGTGGCGCAGGAGGGTCAAAGTGCGCAGGATTTCGCAGGCGACGGGTCATCAGTCCCGACAGGCCCGCAGGCAGACCCGCACCTAGGCCCGCCATGTTCGGCGCAGGAGATGGTTTTTGAATTTGTCAGCTTGGGCAGAGGCGAGGACATGATGCAGGATCTGGCACAGACATCGAGCACAGATGGTGGCATGCCTGGTGGCAGGACAACGAGCACAGAGGGTCATCGGCCGCACAGCCTGGCGCTGACGGGCCCATCGCACGCGGTGTCGGAGGCGGGCATGCAGGTGACGGTCCACCACATCTCATGGCGATGCGTTCAACACCCCTGCACCCGTATGGCGTCGACCTTGTCGCCCAGGGTTTGGCCGCGAGCACCGCATTGCCGACGATGTCGTTCTATGACGACGTGACTAGGGACAGGAGGGCGGGCGACGAGGGATATACATTAGCATGTGGACCGACAGATGTGCCTGCTGGGACGCGATCCATAGGCCGCGTCGACGGTGGTTGTCACGACTCCATGAGAGCATACGAGGAGCGACATGGGAGGCCTATGAGGGCCAAGATATCGGATGTCCACGACACCAGGACGACAACTGCGAGGTTATCTCGAACGAGGAAGAAGGGGACAGGTACATCGACTCCATATCACCGCCGTCGTCCGCCACCTACTTTTCATGATAGAGATCCAACCAGACAAATTCCGGCAACTGTCAGGGCAGTGGCGGATGGAGGCACAGGCGTTGGAGGCTCAACAACCATTTTGTGGAGATCAAAGCGTGCGCATGACGCACTTCACGACAGTGCAGCTGGAGCAGCCCTCAGACGTGACGGCGTCGACAGTACAGGGTGAGTCGAGAAGAGACGAGGCGATGTGGTCATCTACCATGACGACAGTTCCACAGCCACGGAGGCTGGCGAGACCACAGGCGCCGACGATCCGGGTGACTCCGATTACGTGCCTAGGGGCTGGGCGGCGAATGCAGATGATGGCAGAGGTCGACGCGTCAAGCAGAGGACAGGACTCGGCCCGCACGGGCAGGGCATGCCATTGGCCCCTATACCGCGTATTGATCGACGAGCGCAAACTCAGTCTGTGTTGCGCAAACTAGGGGAACAAAGAGTTGGGGGGGGGGGGGAGAGAGAGAGAGAGAGAGAGAGAGAGAGAGAGAGAGAGAGAGAGAGAGAGAGAGAGAGAGAGTCTCTACTTCCTGTAGCACTCCTGGTCTATCACTAGGACGGGAGGCCCTGGAGGTCTTGGCCTGTAGCATCGGTCCTATAGCCGTTATAGTCGGGTACGGTATAGGCCAAAAGTGGCTAAATTGTATCATTATCGGTCCCATAGAGAGAGAGACAGACAGAGAGTGAGTCCCTACTACCTATAGCAGTCCCGGTCTATCACTAGGAGGGGAGGCCCTGGAGGCCTTGGCCCATAGCATCGGTCCTAGCCGTTATTGCCAGGTAGAGTGTAGGCCAAAAATGGTCGAACTGTATCATTACCGGACTCATAATTCGCATGGTACAGCAGGATAGACTTTTTGTACAGTGTCTTCGTTTGTCGGAGCATTTTGGTAGTTGACACTTCGTTCACAAGTTTTGTGTCGGTCTTCAGTATATCTGCTCCATTACTTTTATTATATGTACGAGGGTCATGATTATAAATATCTCTTTTAATTTGGTTGTCGCACGGTCAAACCTTTGAATGTGCTCTGCTTATGCTATTGATGCAAATAAATTCTCGCCTGAAACATCATATGGAAGATTCCTTACTAATGAAAACACCTTCGAAAAAATGAAAAAACAAAAACATCAGGACAATGTTACATTGAACGTCCCCTTTATTAATTTAAAAAAAAAAAAAAAAATCGAAAACGAGAGCACTTTCTAACCAAAGACGTCGTTGAAAGACAAAAGACGTTCACTGAAGTGAAATGATAACACTTATTTGAGTAATATATCTGGCCAGTAAGTGTGCAATATGTTTTTATGATGTATCTGACCGCTATCTGAGGGCACAGTCTCCTTACGACCTTTTAAAACGTGTCTGCCAGGCAAGCGTGGAATGTATGCCGCAGAGTCGCTGACCCCCAGTGCCCCCATCCCCCAACTCCCACCCTCCAACCCCCTCCAACCCCCACCAACCCCTCAGGGGTTGAGGGCATGGGGGTTGGTGGGGTTTGGTCGGGGGTAAGTGTGGAATGTATGCCGCCGAGTCAGGGGTAAGGGTTGAATGTATCCCTCCGAACCCCCTAGACCCCAACCCCCCTCTCC